CAGAGTCATAGAGAACAAACAGGTGGTTGCCAGAGGAGAGAGGGATGGGAGGAGGAAAGAAACAGGCGAGGGAGATTGAGGTACATACTTCCAGTTGCAAAATAAATGAGTCACAAGTATGAAAATAAGTACGTGTATCTTTGTATGATGGCATTGTAAGCAGGCTTATTGTGGTAGATTAATAAGAAATGTAAAACAAAACAAAACAAAAACAAAGAGACTTAAGCCAATGGAAAATATAACACTATGTTTTTCAATACAGAGACTCAAGATCATTAAAATGTCGGGTTTTCATAAATTAATAATAGAATTCCAGTAAAATAACACCAGAGTTTGATTTTCTTATATGTGTGTAACTGTGTCGAGTATGTGTGTGTACTGGGGAGGGGTGTAAGTTAAGCAAGCTGCTTCTAAAATGTATGTGAAAAATTTAAACAAGCCAAACACCCAAAAGTATTCTAAAGAAGAATAATGGCAGGTAACTATCTCTACTAGACAATAAAACATTTTTTAAAAAACTATGATAATTAATGTTGTTGACACATTAAATAAATATAGAAATGCAGCAGGATAAAAAACTGTACATTATTTCCATATTTCACATAGTTTCCGAAGACTTTCATTTGCCCCAGGGAAGGGTAAACCCAAAAGAATCTGGAAAAAATAAAGAAATCAGTTGAAATTCAAAAAGATTTTTTTTAACTCGTAACTAAAACATTTGTCTTAAAAGCTGAAATAGTTTTTAACTGCAGCAAACTTTCCTAGAGAGGAAAGCTACTTTTAGTTTACAGAGAATGATTTTGAATATCAAAAGCCTAAGCACTGAAAGGACTTCGTATGTGAAATGTGTAATATAAACTACTACAGAGTTAGGAAGAATTTAGGTTTTGCTGCCAAAATAAAATAAAGGTGCCGGGCTTTGTGGAGAAAATAACACTCAAGTGAGTTGGATATTGAGAAAGGCCCACTCCTCCACCTACCAGTAGGTATACCAGGCTTACCCTGCTGTAAAGAAGGGAGGGAGGCATCTGATACAGCAGAAGGAATATGTCCCTCACTTCCCAGACTCTGAGTTAAGGCCTCAGTCCTGGTGTCTTGGTGACACCTCTGTCTGTCCTGTCTACTCCATTATAGGGTCAAGGGTGCAGCTGAAATGTCTAAGTGCCCTCAGGAAGTGGTTGAGAGGGGGCCAGCTGACCTAGAGTAGTCACAAGGAAGATGAAATACAGGAACCACATTGGTTAAAGAACATGACCAGACCACAGTCATCTCAATAGATACCAACAGGGATGACCACAGGGGTCAGGTATCTACAGAGACTCCAACATGGGCAGGTGGGAATGACCATGGATCAGGTTCCTCTTCCTCCTTGCTAAGAAAACTAGAAGTCTTTGTTTGTTCCCCACCCAGCTTCTTGGCCTCTTTAATCAGTAGAAATTGATGAGAGGCCAAACGAGAAGTTCAGGCAAGGCTTTACTGGGACTCACGTTGCAGCAGCACAAGGGAGTGAAAGCAAGTAACAGGTTCCTTTGCTCACTCCCGGGGAGCGGGGATAAGCTGGTCCCTTAAATGGGGTGAGGATAGGGGCGAACCCATGGGTCGGGCAGGAGGGGTGGCTTAAGTGGTCTGCCCGTCCACTTGGGGGTGCTGTGGGCAAGGGTCATATGCAGTCCCCCACTTTTTGCTCCTGGCACCTCAGAAGTAGCAGTTGGGTTTTGCTCTTTTTGTATCTTGTTGCTCATAATTAGCCCCAGCTGCATATGTGTGCTGTTATTTTCAGTCCTTTAGGGTTTCTGGATGTTGTTGCTGGATGGATGAGACCTTTGTCCAGGTACAAGCACTGTAGCAGAGCATCCCAGGTCACAGGTCCCAGCCTATCTCACCTTCACCAGAACTTAGCTCACCTAGAGGATAATGGGGAAGAAAAGGGAGGAGCAGAACCTTGAATTTCATTGTTTATTCATAAAATGACTAATAACTAAATTGCCTGTGTGTACATGAAAAAGACTAGACGACTTTTCTCTGTCAGGCAGATTGGGAGCTCAGAATTACAAAGTAGACTGAATTGCAGAACTGTTTTCAAGTTAGATTTTTATGTGCTTGCATACTTAGCCTGTAAAATGCACAATCACTTTACATATTTTATTTGGAAATTTCTGTATTTCAGAAATACTTTACAATGAGAGTACTGCGTACTAATGTGTTTCTTATGTATTTTTTTATAAACAGGTCAGTATAGTCACTTTGATTTGCTCAGTAATTATGAATATTAATCATTATAGTTTTACTCAACACCTATTTTGTCTCACAAATTGAGTCTAAAGTTCATCCTGATTCGTTTTTATATTTTTGAGGTAAGAAATAATAGTCTTTTATTATTCCATTTCTAACTCAGTTGTTTTAATTTTATGAAAGTTTTCATGTCAAAATCCTTTACTGTTAACTTTTTTTCAGGTTTTCGGGACTTAATGAAATCACCTAATTTATCAGAAAGGTGTTATTCTGACTCTTTTTCATAGTTCCATTTCATTCTCTTTCTTTGGTTTTGTGTCTTAGCTTACAAAGGACAGTAAAGGAACCAATCTGAAGGACCTTTTCTAAATTCTTTTTGGCTCCTCCTACCCTCCCCTTGTCAGAACCAGTAGGACTAAGCACAGGAAACAGAGCACAGGGTTTGAGCTAAAGGAACAGATCTAACATGGAGTCAGACTTGTTCTTCCCTCTTAACTTTCTCCTGCTCGCCTATTAAGGGAAGCTCCAGTTTGGATCTGCATAGCATAGCATTCTTTCAGCAGTTTGCTCCCTGGGCTGTCAGTCTTTCCTTCCTCTGAGCCAGCTGTGCATCCTGTCCACGAGAGAAACACGTCTTTAAGCCCCACAAGGACTTCATGAGCTTATCTTCAGCCACAAAAAGAAAAAGATCAGACCAAGTCATGTGAGCTCCATGTCCATCATATGTGGCTGGAAGTCCTCTCCACTTAACTCCCCTTTTCCCTCACTTCCCACCCGCTGGTTGCCTTTCCTTTGGAGTCCCACATGCTTGAAAATATTCTCTCTAAGAGGATTTTAGCTCACTCCAAACCCACTTCCTAAAACATAGCTATATTTTTGCTCTGCTTATCTTATTAAAACACAAGGCATGTAGATTCCTGCACAATATCTTTTCTGGTGACCTCTTGTTCAAGCATCCAACTTATGTTAAAAGAGATTTTAGTGGAGTGGCGATTTTAATGTGGTTTATACTTCAGCAAAGTGAACTGGTCCCTTTAAATTTAAGCTTGAGATGAGCACTAGATCACATTCTGACCTTGTAATTATCTCCTGGAATAAGGCCAATGGGTGTCTGTTTACAGGTCTGTAGAGTGACTTCTCTTTTAATTATGTTAACAAAGAGGTTGAGGAAGTGAAACTCAATTATTAGAGGCTAGCCCCCAGCTTCATTTTTGCCTGGCCCTGACTGATGTATGAGACTTCACCAGTCATTTGAAATCCAGGCTCTGTAACATCACCTATAAAGGCTTTCTTCTGGAAGACATGTGTTAGCAGATGGAGGGACCCCTAAGGTAGGAAGCCCCCCAAAGTGTGGGTTCTTACCACCAGCTGTTAAAGAATTCACACAGCAGAGGCAGAGGGACAAAGTGAACAGCCACTTTATTGCTCAAAAAGGGAAAAGGAAGGAAAGTGCTCGTGCAGGGAGAAAGAAAGAAGAACGTTTGAGAAAAAGGTGCTCGAGCCAGGAAACGGCTGCCAAGATGGCCAGTAGGGACAGCTCTGGCCTAGGTCAGGCCACAGGGACTTTTATGAGAGGCTCCCACCATCATGCTGTAATAGAAAAGAACAAATCTGACTCCATATTAAATCTGTTCCTTTGGCTTTAACCCTGCGCTCTGTTTCCTACCTTAGTCTTGCTGGTTCTGCACCTTTTGTAAAAGAATTTTCCCTATAGCCTGAAATCTACAGGACAGCCTATTCTTAAGGCTCTGATCTTTAAGGAGATGAACACTTTTCCATTCATACAAAGATAACAAGTTGCAGAATAGAAAATACCATTTGTTTTGTGACCCACGTGGACAGCTGCAAGAATAAAGGATTCCAAGAATAAAAAAAATCCTACACCAAGAAGTTTGCAACAACCAAGCATAGCCCCTCCCCCTTTTTAGTGTAAAAGGAGCCTGAATCTGACTTGGGGAAGATGGTTCTCCAGGACATTAGTCTGCCATCTTCTCGGTCTGCTGGCTTTCCAAATAAAGTTGTTATTCCTTGCTCCAACACCTTGTCTCCCGATTTATTGACTTGTTGTGCAGCGAGCAGAACAAATTTGGACTCGGTAACAATGTCTCCTTTTGGGTGTGATGGAGCCAGTTAGTCCTTGTTTGAGTTTTTCAGTCCTTGTATGGACTTTTCTGGTTGTTGTCGTGGCAATCGTCAACAGTCACGGTGCTGGTTGGTGTGTCATTTAGCATACTAATACATTACAGTGAGATAAATGAGACTCAAGGTCCACTGGAAATCAAATCCACCACCATCTTGGACTGGGTTCTAACCAGTTCTTGTTTCTTCTCTGCAGCTGTGCATCCTGAGACTTAGATAAGAGTAATTGGTTTCTATTTGAGCGAGGGGTACAGGTATGATCCTAGAGGCAACAGCCTTGGTAACAAAAAGGAAAGTTACTTTTAATCAGAATGCCTGCAATCTAGTGGACCCAGCAACACCCCCCCCCCACAAAAAAAATCTCCAAAGATTCTGTTCAGTCATGAAAGTTTTAAAGGGAAATGAAAGAATAATCTCAGTTAATCACTGAGATGGGTGGTCAGAGTCATTGCCATCCCCCAAAGCCTGCAGGCTTGTCCTAATCAACTGCTTGAGCCTGCTCTTCTATGACTCAGGGAGGCCTGAGAGACTTCAGCTTTTCTATAAACAAAAGGCAGGGTTGGTGGGGAGCAGGGGAGCAGAGTCCTGCTCCCTTTCACATGCACACCTATTTGGGTAGTGATTTCATCTTAGGTAAGGAATTTCCTACCCACCACTCTCTGCAGAGCATCCTGGACTTCTTTGTTTCTTAGACTATACACAGCAGGGTTTAGTAAAGGTGTTATAACAGTGTAGGTCACTGAGATCAGCTGATCCTGATCCTTGGTGTTCTCTGACTTGGGCTTGAAGTAGGCAATGGAGGCACAGCCATAGTGGACGATGACTACAGTGAGGTGGGAGGCGCAGGTGGCAGAGGTCTTCTTCCGGCCCTCAACTGAGGTGATCTTGAGGATGGTAGAAATAATGAGGATATAGGAGATGAAGAGGAAGGTGACAGGGCCTGTGATGGCCAAGAGGCTGATAATTAAGGTCAGGATATCATTGATGATTGGGGTAGCACAAGCCAAGTTCAACACAGGTCGAACATCACAGAAGAAATGCTCAATCAGTGAGTCACAAAAGGGCAGTCTGAAAATGGCCACAGCCTGAACCAGTGAGAGTGAGAACCCTGCGGCACAGACTGAGGATGCCAGCATGGCACAGACCCTCCAGTTCATGATGATTAAGTAACGAAGTGGGTTGCAGATGGCCACGTAGCGATCATATCCCATTACTGCCAACAGAAGGCAGTTGGTGATGGCAAAGCCAAGGAAGAAAAAAAGCTGGGTCCCACAGCCCTCCAGGGAAATGGATTGGCTCAGGCCTACAAGGCTGGAAAGCATGCGTGGAATGATGACCAGGGAGTAGAAAGTCTCTGATGTGGAGAGGACAGTTAGAAAGAAGTACATGGGGGTGTGGAGATGATGGTCAATATGGATAATAGTCACAATGATGACATTGCCAGCCAGAGTTAGAATGTACAGGGTGAGAAACACCACAGAGAGTGTGAGCTGATGTTCTTGGAAGCTTGAGAAGCCTTGGAAAATAAACTGTCTTACCTCTGTGTGGTTGGCAGTCTTCATTGAAGAGTTCGGGTCTGAAAGACAAAGAGAAAGTCAGCACCATCTCTTGGCACCAAAGACTACCCTGCCCTCTGATGAACACATGGTCCAGAGCAAAGATTCAACACCACAGAGACTCAGTTCAAAACTTCATGGATCAACTGCCTTTTCCAAGAACATGGTAGACGAGGTCCTAGAACTAGTAGAAAAGATACAAGTAATTTGAGCAAAACTATTTGAAAGTTTGAAGTAAAACATTCTTTTTAAGTACTCCTAGGTCATTTAAAAAATGGCAGCCTATATATATGGCCCATGAAGTTGGCCTCAAAAATTTCTTAAAACTGGATTTTCTTAAAATGTAGGTGACAAGTCTCAGGCTACAGGGTGATTAAGTTAGAAGTTGTCACAAAAAGGAACTTAAAAATTTGCAAATATTTGATAATCTAACCAATGGTTCAAAGGGAACTCTTAATGGAAACTAGAAAATATTTAGAACTAAACAGTAATAAAAGATTCACATACCAAAATGTGCTGTGCACATAGAACATTATTAGAGGGAGGTTTGTCATTTAAAAATACTCATTTGTTGCAAAACAAAACAAAGGGGCTGCAAATTAATGAGTTGAGCATCCATCCTAAGAAGTTATAAAAATGACATAAAAAAGAAAGTAGAAGGAAAGAACACAATAATGAAACAATGTTAGCAATATATAAAAGAAAGATAAACTAGACAGTGTCTGTAAGGGTTAAAGTTTATACCTTTAGGTAAACTGCTAGAAAAAGTGACCAAGAAAAACAAACAAGGACATAAACTCTAGTATGAATTAATAAAGGGACACAATAATAGAAGTTGCAGACACAAAAAGACGAAAAGTGATACTGTAAACAACCTTATCTCAATACCTTTTTAAACTTCAACAAAATGGATACAATTCTAGAAAAAAAGAATTACTTACCAATATTGAATCAAGAAGAAGAAATTTGAAAACTGTTTAAGAAATAAAGACGTAGTGAAAAATCTACAATAAACTTCTAGGCCAAGAAAAATTTACCAGTAAGTGCTATAAAACATTCAAGGATAAATAAATTTCAATCTTAAACTATTTTGGATAATAGAAAAAGATGGTATTTCAGGTGAGGCTCTTGGCCATTTTGGCAAGTTACTCAGTTTTCCTGGGTCTCTCCCATGTATATACATGTTATTAAATTTTTGTTTGCTGTTTGATTTTCTCTTGTTAATCTGTCTTAGGTCAGTTTAAATTTTTTTAGACCAGCCAGAAAAACCTAGAAGGGCAGGGGAAAATTTCTTCCTCCCTGACCAGGGAAAACTCCCCACCTCATTTTATGAAGCCGGAATTATCGTGACACCAAATTTTTCAGGCCAATTTCGCACACAGATATGGATGCAAAATTCTTAAGCAAAACGTCATCAAACCAAATCCAGCAATGTATAAAATGAGTATATGACCAAGTTGATTTTATTTCAGAATGCAAAGTCTGTTTAACATAACGCAGTCCAATTATATATTTCCTCAGATGAATTATTTAAAGGAAAAAAGACATGATTATTTCCATAGCTGCCAAAAAAGCATTTTTAAAATTCAGTGTCTACTTAGGAGAAGAACCCTTGGTAAACAAAGAATAAAAGATCTTCTTTAAGCTGATAAAGCATGTGTACAGCAATCCTTCAGCCAGCGTATCCTTAGAGGTGAGAACTGAAGGATTCTCTTTAAGATAAAGAACAAGATAAGGGTAACTGCTTTATCCATTTCTCTTCAGCATTGCATTGAATATTCTAGCCAGCCCAGTAAGGCAAGAAAAAGAAATTAAAGATACAAGGTTTGAGAAGGAAGAAATTCCTTACAGATGATGTGATTGTGAATATAGAAAATGCAAGAGAAGCTACTGATAAACTCCCTTAATAATTCCTATAATTTAACAGGCTTTCTGGCACACAAAACAGGAATTTTATATGAGAGGAAACAGGAATGGCATGTGAACAGACTTTTAAACATCATTAATAGCCAGGGAAAAATAAGACCACAGACCATCTCGCACTTATCAGACTGCAAAAAATCAAAACCATCACAGATATAGAACAATGGAAGCTCCAGTCCTCTCTTGGAGGGAATGTAAATTGATGCAATCATTTTGGAAGCCAGTTAGATATTACCTATTAGAGCTGGAAATGAACATGTCCTATGCAATTCCACCCTTAGAAAAGCTAAAAAGACACAGGCAAGAGGATTATAGCAAGTTTATTATTATGGAAAAATAAAACTGAAACAAACCATGTTTTTCAAAAGCAGAAAGGATATTTAAATTGAAACAAATTCTTACAATGAAGTATTACAGAGCATTGAATGAATTCATTAGAAAGCAGGGGTGGGCCAACTACAGCCCACAGGCCAGCTGTTTTTGTAAATAAGGCTTTATTGGAACACAGTCACACCCATTTTTAATGCATTATGTATGACTTCTGCGCTATAACAGTTTAAAGAGCGGCAACAAAGACTGGCCTGAAAAGACTAAAATATTTACTAACTGATCCTTTACAGAAAAAGTTTGCTGACCCCTGTTAAAGGTCATTAAAGGGACTAATTACATTGTCACAAATCAACACGGATGAATCTCCAAAATCATAATGTTGAGTAATAGAAGCAAATCGCAGATTATACACATTTGTGTGTGTATTCCATTTAATGTTCAAAAGAAGATGAGATTAAATCATATATTGTTTAGAGATAACAATATGATCTTTAAAACAATATGTTCTTTAAAACAGTATGTTTCTTTAAAAACATGGGAAATTTAAAACATGGGAATTATTTAGCCTAAACTTCATGATGGTGACAATTTAGCATGTATTTGAAGTATCTGAAAGTATTTGAAAGGAGCATTTTTGAAGCTTCTAGGTTTATGGTGATGTTCTATTTCTTAGCTGGGCAGAGGGTACCTAGGTATTTGTTCTGTCATTTTTTTTAAAATGTACATTCGTTTTATATACTCTTTTTAGTGTATACTATATCTTACAACGAAAATTTTAGTGTTATACATCAAGAAAAGTGTTCATCAATTGTTAAATGGAAGAAATATTACAAAATAGTGAAGGTCATATCATCCCAATATTATAATGAAAAAAGGATATATACTCACGTTAATGTGAATATGTATGTACAAGAAAAAGACTAAGAGTATGTAAGTGAATGAATATATGTGACATTTGTAAACAAACTAATACAATATTATTTTTGAAAAACATATTGTGCAGCTTTTAAATGATGCATGTGAAAAATTTTAATTCAATAGAAAATAAGTTAAAAACTAGGATACAATATAGTACACACAGAATTATCTCAACTGTATGAACATATGAATACAAAGAAAGCTAATGTAAATCATGTAAATGTTAGTAGTGCACGATTCTGCAGGGTATAACTCTGGGTAAATTTCTACTATCTCCTGAATTTTCCAGTGTCCATGACAAATATGTACTACTTAGGAACTGGGGTGGAGGATAGGTTTAATTTTTTTTTTAAGCCTCCCTTAGGGTCATTCTTACCACCACCTTTCCATCTAAGTATATCCCTCCATTCTTGGTCTATCAGCATCTCATTCATTCTTGTATGATGCCACCTATCACGTTCAATTGAAATTATTTATTATCTAACTTCAACTATATTATAAGCTTTTTGATGACAGAGATCATACCCAGAACATAGCCCCACATTTGCCACATCTTAAGCTTTTGATAACTGTGTGTTAAATGAACCAATAAATGAAGTAATACTCTTGAGATACTTCCAGTCTGGAGCAGGAAACCCATACCTCTACCAGATAGATAGATAGGTAGATAGATAGGTAGATAGATGGGTACAGCAGCACTGCCTTGGGCACATGGGAACCAGGACAAAGTATTGAAGTGAGAACTTAGTCTCAGTTGCAGAAATTGGGAGACTGCTGGAGAGAAAAAAAAGAACATGAAAGGACAATCTAGGAATACAGGAGGAAGCGTTATCATTAAGAAGGGACATAGATAATTAATCTGGGGTTAGTTTTCCAATCCTTAATCTGACTTTCGGTGAACGTCTCTTTTCTGCAAACAGCTGGTAGAACATTATATGAATTTTTTGCATTTTACAGTTTCCTTTATTCTTCAAAGTGATAATACATCTGCTACTCAAAAATAACTACATGGTAGAAATGTGAGGACACTTAATTCCGAAAAGGAGAAAGGAGTTGCCTAATATCACATATTTAGTTCATGGCAGAGATAACTTGGGAACGCAGCTCTCTTGGCCTTGTACTCAGAGTCTCGTGCTCTTGAGAGATCTCAACATCTGGGAGGAAGACATTCTATCTCAGCTGAGATATTGACACATGTAACACTGATACACAGAACTTTCTCAAGGAAGACATAAAAAAATTAAAGAAAAAAACCCCAGAGGAAATCACTTTATCTTGTCCCAGGTTGTTTTGCTGTCTCTTTGAAGAGACAGGAACATGGACTTAGTAAGTATTACTGAATTTCCTTTTAGTTCTTAACATAGCTGCTAGTCTCTGGTGGAAGGGCAAAGCTCAGAAGAAAACATTATTTCCTTTATTTGTTCTGCTGTACATCTAGCATCTATCTGTCTACAATCTCCAGCTCCAGCCCCATTCACATCCACATTGCACATGCACAGACACACACACATGGATTACGGCAGACATATTTCTCTGGAAGTAGTGATCTGGATGCTCTCATGTTACGTTGCTGGATGGGAACAGGACTAAGAACCTGACCCAAGGTGGAGCATAATAAGTAAGGGAAATCAAAGCTGCATACAGACCTCAAAAGCTAATGAAACAATATCTGAGTTAATGAGTGAGTGGAAATGCAAAAACATTTGATTAAAACATACTGTATGCTACCCTATTAAGACAGGCTGCATAACATAAAGCTTAGAAATTACCCTACAAGGAAATAAAATACGTGCTCCCATTTTTATAGGTGGAGAATTTGGGAGCTTAGGATAAACTACTTGTCAGACTCACATATCTTGTCATCGACAAGACCAGGTGTGAAACACAGTATGTCTGACTCCAAATCCTACATGCTTCCATTGAATGAAAATTCTGCTGAATGAATATTCAG